AAAGTTTGGCGACTCTAACTGCTGCACATCAGTCCAATTTTCTATGTTGAACCCAGTCTGTTAATCAGTCATTTTCAGTTGGTCAGCTGGAAATCTGTTTTTTTAAATAGAACCGATCTAATCACTTTTAATGGTACTCGAAATTTCTGATAACATTTTCATTAATTCTTATTTAAGTTATTTTCAATAGTTTGGTTTGTAAGGGTTAGTTTTGCTTTTACCAGTCGATCACGGATTAATATCAGTTATATAACCATTGAAGACCAGAACTGGAGTACTGGACAGCTGTTTTATCCACTATGGAAAATTAACCTGATGCTAGCTAGTGATGACTTGCTACAGAATGGAGTTTCTTGGAGTTCTAGTGAGAAGTCGTGACCAGTGAGGTTCATCCAGATGTCACGTGTGTGAGGATGGATATCGCACCTGCGAGAATGGTTGGGGTCGCGATAAATCACGAATTGGTAGAAGTTAGAATTCATGCACTGGTCATTGAGGAGTCGAGTCTCAGTGACTGAATGGTCTACGAGTTAGCTTACCTTGTAACCGGAAGGTTCTGGGTTCGAACCCCCCCAGTAGGTGCGTACTGTCGATGATTTAAGTTATTCCCTGTAAATTTACTAATGAGTTGTATTATATAGTGCATTATTGTGTAGTTTATTCCAGCGAGTACTATTCACTATGTTACACTGTTTATAACAACACTTTATCACACAGTTTATTTTCATTTGTTGTAGTTTATGAGTAAGTGACTTACTATCTGTCTAACTATTTTCATCTCACGTTTATTTGTAGGCATGAATGTTTCAAACAATTTGTGTTCACTTTATGAATTTAGTTAGACAAAGCAATAAGATGATGTAATTTGTCTGAATCGTGTACTGTTGTATTTGAGCAACACAACTCGAACAATCTGATCACACTCCGCGTACTTGTCATAGGAATATATATATATATATATATATATATATATATATATATATATATATATATATATATATATATAAAAAAAGATATATATATATATTGAAGGTCAAAATAACAATGAAGATCAGTCACTAAACCAAACGAGAGAGGTAATTAGTATAACGACAGAAGACAACGGCCAGGCAACAGATCGTTTATTGTCAGCGGAAAAGCGACCTCTTATGATTGATTGTTTTCTTGCTGAAGATTATTCTGTTATCTCTTTGTGTCCGTTTCTTAGAAAGTTAAGCCATATATCTGCCAATCGTATTTACACACGTTAGGTCTGCTTTGTTTGGTGGATAGGTTCCTCAGGGTTAAGCTTTTTTATTGTGTTTCTTTCTCATGACCCCGATTTGGGACGTAAAAATTGACGCAAATTGGTGTTTAACAATTTTGGCTAGCAGACAGCTCTCACCGAAATAGTGCATCTACCCTGACTAGTATTCAAAGCAAAGTTCACCAAGACAGTTGGTTTAGTGTGATGATGAGTTGTTGCTTTGAACGCATAAAGGTGGTTTAAACTTTCTAATTGCCATCTAAGGCTTCCACAAACTTTAGGATACACCCTCCCCCAAACACGTTTTATAGATAGGTTTAAAAGATCTGTTATCGTCAATTTTATGTCTAGTCTCTATAACACGTTTCGCAATAGAGGAGCTAAGTCTCCTGTTCTCAACATTAATGGGTTCTTGGGATTCCATTTGCTTCTGAAGCCTTTACTTGCAGAGATTGATGATTCCTTCCTTCTATGTATGTATGTATGTCCACATGTACATTCAAATCGGTAAATACAGTAGGATGTGACATCATTTTTCGCATGTTCTAAGGGCTTAGATTGATGGATATATTGACTTCACATTCTCGATTATTATGATGTTAGCTGCATAAAAAGTCTTATAAACAGCAGCGTTCAATTTGTGTCTAGTTGTCAAGCTGTTATGATGTCCCATATAGGGTAGCTTGATGTACACGGCTTTCTTAGGGGTGAATTGGAGAGTGGGTATTGGTGTTCCACTGACTACTTCATATTTCTTGATGAACTTTTCTGGATAATTCTTATCAACCAGGGTTTGTGTCAACTTTCTTTCTCCCTTATCAAGTGTGTCTGTCTTCAGTGCATATTCGTTAGATTCTATTGAAGAGGCACCTCACTCACTAAGGCTCTTTTATACCGAAAAAGGGCAGATACTGTGGTAATTAAAATATTGTCCTATCCAGTAGGTAGGTTTTCTATAAATAGATCTTTTTATTGACCCATCAAGCCGTCGACTAAGCAATATGTCTAGGAAAGGTTAACAATTATCTTCCTCTTCTACAGACAGATGTAAGTGATATGCTATTCTGAACTTCATTCATTCGATTTAAAATTGAGGTGGCAGAATAAGACTTATCACTGATGATTACAATATCACCTACATACCTTTTATAAAGTGGCACGTTTTCGATTTAATACTCCGATAAACTCTCAATGTACGACATATAGATATCTGCTAAAAGGGGCCCTTACGGACTTCCCCTAGCAACACCATCAGCTTGGCGGACACAATTGCCTTCAAATGTAAACCTAACATTGTTAGTACATAGAAGTAATAAATCCCTACAGTTAGATGTAGGGAACGGGATGAAAAAGTTATGTATGGTGAAATGTAATCACACAAAATGTCAACTGTTTTGAGCTAAGGTATCATTAGTGAATAAAGAGTTTACATCAAAAGAGTACATATTCTTGTTCATAATATTAATATTACTATCATCAAGAACATCAACCAATTCAAATGTATCTTTTAACACATGCTTACAGAATTGTGTTTTGACTGGATGCAATAATTCTACTAACCATTTAGCAAGTTTATGCGTTGGGGATCTACACAGTGACAATATAGGACGTAGACGATTATTGCGTTTATGTATTTTTTGGCAAACCATACATATATGCGGGAATTTACAGTCTGATGGTTTTTAAGAGTCAAATTTATCTTTATTTATAGCATTTAGGCCATGAAGCTTCACTAGATTAGCTGTCACTGTGCGTAAATTTATTTTATCACCTCCCTTAACTCTTTCTTCATTAATTTGATATGTATGTAAATTCCTGTGACAAGTCTTTATGTGTGATCAAATTGTTCGAAATGTGTTGCGCAAATAGAACATTATATGATTCAGACAAATTACGTCTTCTTATTGCTTTGTATACATGTTTCTTTCGGATAAGTTAGTAGCGGGAGATGGGGAGCATTGTTAGCGTTGATGAAAGCTCAACACTGATGCAAAAAAGTCGGTGTGGTATTGGCCAAATTATATCATATCTGGCTATCCACCAAAGGACGTGTGTATTACACAATATTCCACTCTATCCTCCTTCATCGTTGTGAGACGTGGTTATTGGAAATGAAAGACTATGAAAAGACTTGCCTGGGGAGCTGTCTTTGACTAAACATGTGTGTACTTCGTGTCTCCTTTGGTAAATGGTATAAATATGGTGAGTAGTGTTGAGGTTAAGTTTAATGTGTTAGGGATAATGAGGGTAAGTCAATTCATCATGAGGTTGTGAAGTTACATCGATTGAATCGTCTGGACACACGTTTTGCACATATTGAGTCTCCGCATTCTTTGAAACGCCATTTCAACTGACGTCGGGATGGTTTAGAAAAGAGTTCGGAGTGTTTAGGTGAACACCTGACAACAGTTCATGAAGTCTTCAACAGTTGGTTTGAACCAGCCACGTTAGCTAGCATGTATACAGTTCATCAGCGGTATTTCTGAACCTATAACCTCATCAGAGACTTCATACTCTACCCTTAGGACAAACTACTAGGCTAGTATTCAAAGATGAATAGTTCTTAACCTGAAGGATAACTGTAATTTTGGCGTAGTGGTGGTCCCTTGTATACCACAATAAGTCAACAAGCTAAACACCAGCTGGATCGTATGTTCCTACAGATCGTATCGCATCGAAAGGCTCTTTAAGATTACTATTATTATAAATTCGATTTCTGGTCTGAGGGCGAAGTTGTTTTGTGGGAGGATTAGGTGTCTCTGTTGGTCGACCAGTAAGAACTAGAAAATGTCATTTTCTGAGATGTGAGCAGCAGGGGATTAGCAACCGCCCGCTTCAGCCCCTCCCCATATTCTTCCAGCTGAGTTCTACATGTTCCGATTTTCACTCATTTTTGTGTCAGTGTGTCTCTATCATGTATATATTATGAAATTTAAATTCAAGTGTTGGGTTGTAGGTATTTGATTGGTTACAGGATTTCATCATGAACTGGCACTAGTTAGAGAACCATTAGAAAACCTGTCAGGAGTACTGGGCAGCTGTTTCGTCTGCCTAGTTTGGGACTCTTCAGCAGTGCGCACCCACCGGGATTCGAACCTAGGAACTTCTGGTTACAAGGCTAGCGAGCTCGTTTACCACTGAACCACTGGGACCCGACTCAATTACCAGCCCATGAATTCTAACTGCTGCCAAATCCTGTAACCGATCAAATCCCTACAACCCGACACTTGAATATCAATGAGATGCTCACTAGTGGCTTGCCCTATTCAGGTAGGTAGTTACCTGGGGTTCTAATGAGAAGTTGTGACCAGTAGGGTGCAGCAGGTCGGGTGTGAGGACTATAATACTCGCCGAAGACATTGGCTAGTGGTCGAGCCATGTCGTGAATTGGCAGAAGTTAGATTTCAAGAACCATTGGATCGGGTCTCAGTGAGTGGCCTAATGGTCTACGAGCTCCCTAGCCTTGTAACCAGAAGGTCCTGGGTTCGAACCCCTGTGGTGGGTGCGTACTGATGAAGAGTCCCGATTTGGGACGAAACAGCTGTCCAGTACTTCAGTGCTGGTTTTCCAATGGTTTTTCTAACTAATGTCAGCTCATGATGAAATTTAAATTGTTCTCATATTTTTCTTTTTTTCTGTTTTTAATCTTCTTATCATTCCCTGATCCGATCGTCGATCTGATCATCGTTATTCATGTTCCAATATCCGTCGACCCTCTGGCATCAATCGTCATCATCGTCGTCGTCTTCTTTAGTCTACTGGGATTCAGTATACACTTCAATCTTTTATCTCCACCAATTTATCATCTCGACTGGACGCAAACAATTGAATGCTATCGATTTATGATCAAGGTAAATGGTGTGTGTGTCGATGTGTGCCTGTGCGTGCGTGTGTCTATGTACACCTAAGTTTACTTTCTCTCTTCATCTTATGCTGTTTACGCTCGTATGTATATTTGTGTGTGTGTGTGTGTGTGCAGGTGCTCGTGGTTGCATGTTACCTAACCAGGTTACTGATCAGATGAGAGTTTCATGTGGTGCTTATTGTTGTTGTTCCTATGTGGCTAAATGACATGATGCCTCTCTGCATGTGTGCGTGCCTGTGTGTGTTCGCGGGACCTTTATCTCAAGGTCAAATTTTGTTGAATTCGTATTTCGAGAGAAAGGGCTTTTAAGAATTTTAATACTAAGTATCTCTTAGCATTCATTATTATTATTATTGTTTCCTTTAATTCCTAGAGAAACTTAGGGCTTCAGCCTCACGTCTCCATTGCGTTCGGTTCTCTGCCAACGTTTTTACCCCACTCCAAGTCTGCCCACATGCTCTCATCTCCTCTTCACATGATCTCCTCCAAGTCATCCCACTGTGGGACGACCAACTCGCCGCTTCCCATTCTGTCGAGTTCCAGTCTAGCGATGGCTTGTCTAGTGATGTCACTTGATGGTTTGTTTTCTCAGAGTATGGCCAATCCAATCCACCTTCATTTCTTCTTGCCTATTTGTTGCACAATCGGTTCCTGATGGGTTGGTTCGTTCATTGCCAGAGATCTGTGTTGCTTATCTTTTCTGACCGGCCATCTGATCTTGAGCGAAGTACTGAGCGAAGACAGCTGTTGATGAAGGTCTGTAGTCTGTTCGAAGTGCCCTTTGTGACACGGTGCCAAGTCTCTGATGTCTATGTGACTAGCACTGACTTCACACTGGAGTTGAATATGTGGATGTTATTTTTCATGCTGAGTGCTGTTGGTCTCCAGATAGACTTGAGAGTAATGAAATCTTGTCTTGCTTTTCCGACCCTTGCGGCTCTGATATCCCCATCAGTTCCGTCGGCCTGCAGTTAAAACGATACTTCTCAGGTAGGTGAAGGAGGTTGTTTCTCTCAGGTTCCTCCTATTTATGGTGGCTGATTGTTGTCTGTTGTTGTTGCTGTTGGCCAGGATCTTCATCACCTCTGTTTTCTCTATGTTCACCTGAAAACCTATCTTCGCTGGACGCTTCTTCTGCCAACTTGTTGCTTTTCATTTGCATATCTTCAAGTTTGTGGGAAATCAGACATATACCATCGGCGAAGTCCAGATCCTCCGGTTTTTTCTGTGAGTCCATTTTATGCCTGTTCCCTCGTTGGTTGCCGTTGTCTGTCGCATTATCCAATCTACTGCAATCAGGAAATTAATCATTGGCAATAGCAGACAGCCTTGTCTCACTCCCGTCCTCACTTCAAAGGCTTCCGTAAGTTTCCCATTGTGGATTTTTAGTATTCACAATAATTAAAATCACCGAATAGGTTGTTATAACTAAAACAAACTCGTTAGTAGTCTGAATACAAGGGAACCGATATCTTTGCCTAACGTCTTCATGCATGGTCACGAAACTCTTCAAAGAAAGCCGAAAAGACTATTATCCTTGGTTGAATCTATGTATGGTTCTATTCAAATAAATTACCTTAACATAACTGTTGGGCAGTTGGCTGTACAAGTCAGGAAAATGTTCTAATTGCAAAACAAGCACTGTAGAATGAAAGTAGCTAACTCGAACTCAACTGTAAGACCATCCTTATTATTATTATTGTTCCCTTGGGTTCCTAGTGGAACATAAGGGCTTCAACTGCACGTCTCCACTTGCTTCTGCTGTACTTTTCACCTGCATCCATGTTAGTTAGTTCATACTGTTTCAACTCCTCTTCACACGATCTCCTCCATGTCACCCTTGCACAGACGTCCCACTCGCCGCCACTTCCCTTTCGGCCTGGTTCCACTCGAGAAATGGCCTGACGCGTGCGCGATGTCACTGAGCGGCCTCCTCAAGCGAGTGAGTGTCCAATCCACCTCTTCACTTTCTCCTGCGTATTTGTTGTTGTTGGGCGATTGGTTCTTGTTTTGTTTGTTTATTCCCATAGTTTCTTGTTGTTGGTGATTCTTTCCGCCCGGCCATCTGATTGATCTTCAGTATGGAGCGAAGACAGTTGTAAGAAGTACCTAAGAAATGAAGCAGGATATTCCTAACACGGTGGGGTGAAAAGCTCTATTCCAGATATCTAAGTGGACAAGTGTTGAATCATTCCTGTTACAAGTGTTCTCCTCAGCTGATTCGATAAACAAAGCCTTCGTTATCAATCTCTTCCTCCAACCTACTGTTATATTAGATTTTAAAACTGTCATCTTATCCCATCTCATCCTATTGTATGGTTGCCTGTTCAGCTATAGCACTACATGCAATCACACACAACCATACAATATACGATGGGATGAGATAAGATGACAGTTTCAAAATCTAATGTCACAGGGTGAATGGAGGGAGAGACTGATAACTGAATGAGGCTTTGTGCATCGAATCAACTGAGGAGAATACTTGTGTAATAGGAATGATTCAATACCTGTCTACCCAGATATCTGGGAAATTCTACTACCCGTGCGACGACAAATAGGAGAGAACAAAGAAAATTATAAAAATCCAGTTTCGAAGTCGTGTGATTATAATTGATTGATATGATTATGAATAATGATGAATTGTGTTCGTAACGTCATCCAGTGTGTAATAATACTGTTTCTGTGACTGCGTGATACATCTAATAAACAAACTAATATGGAATTGCTTACTACCACATTGCCCAAGTCTTGGACATATATATTAATATGAAGAAGATCGCATTGAAAACACCAATATTATTCGCTTATATGTCTTGCTCTAATATTAAGCTTTGCTATTGTGTTTTTTCTCATGATCCCGATTCGGGGCGTAAACATTTTGACATAAATTGTTGTCCTACAATTTTGACTTATAGACAGTTGTCACCACACTACTTATAAATGTTTTCAGTAGCACAGGCTACATTATATTTATTTATTTATTTTATAATTTGGGTTGTTTTTATAAATTATTCGTTTAGATATCTTTAGAAAATCCTTCACAATCGGGTCAAATCAAAATTCTACTACACGCACCGTATGCATCTACACCGTGTCTTGATTTACCATTAACGGAGATAAATGATGCTTCATCTTCAACACCACAACAATCGTTAACGACGTCTACTACTACAACTACCGTCCGGTTGACAACTGCATCTTCGACATCACCATCGACATCATCATTGAATCTGGCGGAGAAGAATAAAAAGCAGGATATACTTGTTAAATTTTGGAATCAATTCAATATTACATCATCAAAAGTGTCGAATGAAACCAATTATATGATACCACGTGGTGGATTAGTTATCCTAATTGATTGTTGTACACTTGTGTTAGGTCTTATCTCTTGTATTCTATGCATACGATCAGTTATACAAGGATTTCGTATGTGGCTGGTAAGTTGTGTGTGTGTGTGTGGATTTCTCTATTTTTTTGTTTTCCTGCATGTGATGCTTTATTTTGTTGCTATTTTGATGTAGTTGTGTTCTCTGAGCAGCTGGATAGTTAATTTGCGAAGCCTTCATCGCCCATCTTACTAGGCGACATCTTCAGCACGCATACTTCATTATGAATTGAAATGAGCGTTTAGATTTCTCCACGAGTTTAATAATCATCTCTCCTGGTCAGTGACCACCTTGGACGTGATTGGTTGTTTTTGTGTGTTTTCACACCCCCTGTAGGCGGCTACTTGTATTGGAACTGATTGTTTCATTGACTTGAACTTTGACCCTTTATCGGTTGATAAATTTTGTCTCTCTCGATGTGTCTATTGATTGATGATTCACTGGAATACCATGCAGGCTTCTAAACATTCTCTAGCATTCTTGTTGTTTCCTCTGTCTAATATTCGAACGCTGGTTGTCCCAGTCGAATTGATGTCCGTGGTTGTCTGTGTGGAGTGAGTGATATGAGGGAGTGGATATCATGTCTTTGGACGGCTAGCTAATGTTCATGGATATGAAGACGAAGGGAATGTCTACTTTGGCCAGCGTAGTGTTTTTCGCAGTTGTTACAATTTATTTTGTAGATGATGTTGGTTTCATCTTCTTTCGCTGTTCGGTTTTTTTTTGGTTGACATAGATTGAGTGAAGCGACTTTGTTGGTTTGCGCACGACGTCAATTCCTAGAGGTTTGAAGAGTCTTGTAGTGATTTCTGAGACATCCTTTATATATGGTAAGGCAATTTTCTTTGTGCTTTCCTTGGGGGGCTTTTAGTTTGCCCCTAGTGAATCATCAATCAATAGACACATAGAAATAGACAAAATTTATCAACCGATAAGAAAGAAACCTCACACACACACACACACACAAAGTTCAAGTCAAAGAAACAACCAGTTCTAATACAAGTAGCCGCCTAGAAGGTGTGAAAAAACACACAAAAAGAACCAATCACGTTCAAGGCCACCCTGCAGGAGATATGATTAATAAACTCGTGGAGAAACCTAAAAGCTTACTTCAATAAATTGAAGTATGCGCTGAAGATGTCGCCTAGTAGGACGGGCGATGAAGGCTTCGCAAATTAACCATCCAGCTCAGAGAACACCACCACATCAAAATCATCCACCTGAGCTGCAAATCTTCTCTATCATATTTTTTGATATTAAATGGTTTGAGACAGTCTGCAGGAAGCCTTGAACCAAAAATCGGACTATAGAAATTACACTATGTACTTACCTGGTGTCCAACTGAAGTATCAGTTTTGTACCTACAGGAGGTAAATCGTGAGCCCGAATAGCTGGTTCACTGGTAACGTCTCTGACTGCAGTCAGAAGGAGAACTGAGTGGTGATACAGACCCTCGAATCTCTGAGGGGTGGGACATGACTCCCTTCAAGACTGCAGATACGCCTTGCTGACTCGTACGAAACCTAGGTCCCGGCAAGGCTTCCTGCCGATTGTCTCCAATCATCTAATACCTCAATTCACAGTACACTGTAATAATGAGTCACCTAGAATGCTGGCCACATCGCAAACTTGACTGATAGAATTGGATATGCACCAAAGATAGGACCAGACACATTACACTAGTTTACTGACCAGTATCTAGTTAAAAGTACGCTTTATTGTGTTTATGTCGCCTATCAGTGGAATATATAGGCTATGCATTTTGTCCTATTTTGGGACTTAGTGTAACTTAGATGTAACTGCAACCCTCCCACTCAACAGGATGATGGATACTGACGACAGAAACCAAGCATTTCGTCCCAATAACGTCAAGCGATGGGATTTATTGCGTTGCTGGCATGGAGGTAGAAGGCTCTCCAAGCACGCAGGTGGTTCATAGTTCGATCCCCGGCCACAGACGCACTCCCTTAACTCGCTCGCTGGTAAAGAGGGGAGGTTGGTCATGAGGTTAGCAACCCCATCCCCATCCCGTAAAAGTAAACACCACAGCTACGGAAACTTCAGGCCTCTAGTTTTGAAGCCGCATGTTTCACTGGGGACGTAAAGGAATAAAAAACGGGAATTATTATTATTATTATGACCACTAAAATCCAACATTCGGGAGTTACTCCATCATTCATTATTATTGTAAGCATCATCGTCGCTTATTCCCTTGAGTTCTGAGTGGAACATAAGACTTAAGCGGTACATTTCCATTTAATCCTATTCTCTGCAGTGCTTTTTAGCTGCCTGCATGACTGCCTATAAGCTTTCACTGCCTACTCATATAATCTCCTCTGTATCACTCTCAGACCCCATGGCCTCCACTTTATTTGCCACTCAGGTTGCACTCTATGTGTTAGCCTAGCGCGCGATATCAATCAGTGTTCTGCTCAAACTATGTCCAATCCAATCAATATATGCTGAACAAAAAGTGAAATGTGTAAATAGTTTACAATTCATCTGTTTTTCTAACCATTTTGGGATATGCTCTCCCACCCTCACGTGCAAAGCGCGATTACCCCTCCCTATGTATGTATGTTCACACACACACACGAAAATTGGTAAATTGTATGGGATGTGATATAATCACTTGTGCACTTTTGGGGTTTACAGTGAAGCATATTTTTAGCTTTTTCCACAATTACAAGCTGGGCTGCATAGTAGGTTCTACGGATGATTGAATTCAATCTTTGTCTCACAATCCTACTGTTTATTTCCCCGTTATATGGTAATTCGATAAAAACCGTTTTCTTAGGGACGGTATGGATTGTAGGTTTAGAGGCTAGTTGACGCAATGAATTATGTAAGTTACTTTGAAAGATACATTTGAACTTGTTGACTGTCTTGTAGATATGAACATAAAAGATAGGAAAATGTATTCATTTGATGTTAATTCTTTGTTTACTAATGTACCATTGATTAAGACTGTTGATATTCTTTGTGACTATATGTCTTCTAGTTGTTTTTCATTCCCTTTCCCTTTAACTTATTTGAAAGATTTATTATTATTATGTACTGACAACGTCCATTTCACGTTTGAAGGCGAACATTTTCGACAAGTGGATGGCGTTGCTATGGGGAGTCCATTAGGACCTTTGTTAGCGGACGTGTATATGTCTTATGTTGAAAACTTATCCCTTGATTTAATTTCAAAATTGCCCTTTTATAGGAGATATGTAGATGATATCATTTTGATATGTGACGATCATGAAGATGCGAGTCGCCTATTAGACAGACTTAACTCTGTACAAAATCATATTAGTCTTACATGTGAGGAAGAAAGTCGCAACCAGCTAGCATTTTTAGACATACTTCTGAGTCGAAGAGATGATGGCTCAATAAGACGGTCTATCTACAGAAAGCCCACTTGGACAGGGCAATACCTTAATTTTCACAGCTTCTGTCCATTACAGTATAAGAGGGGCTTGGTGAAGTGTCTATTCAAGAGGATTCAGCGTATTTGCACGGCTGATGTTATGGACAGAGAAAACGAAATATTAATGGATACTCTTGTTGAAAACGGATATCCTTTGAAATTTTTAAACAGGTGTAGAAGTCAACTAGCCTCTAAACCTACAATCCATACCGTCCCTAAGAAAAAGGTTTTTATCAAATTACCATATAACGGGGAAATAAACAGTAGGATTGTGAGACAAAGGTTGAATTCAATCATCCGTAGAACCTACTATGCAGCCCAGCTTGTAATTGTGGAAAAAGCCAAAAATATGCTTCACTGTAAACCCCAAAAGTGCACAAGTGATTATATCACATCCCATACAATTTACCAATTTTCGTGTGTGTGTGGACATACATACATAGGGAGGAGTAATCGCGCTTTGCACGTGAGGGTGGGAGAGCATATCCCAAAATGGTTAGAAAAACAGATGAATTGTGACAAGCTAATAGATGCAGGTGGCAGACTACCAAATTCGTCTATAGCTAAACATCTAATCGAGATGAACCATAAGATTGATGTTAACTCAGCCTTTAAGGTCATCTATAAAAACGGTCAAGGGCGTTTACTGAAATACGCTGAGGCTATAGCTATTCATAGACTTAAGCCCCCCTTGTGTATTCAAAAACAGTTTGTCATTACTCTTAACCTACCTTGGTAATCCTTATTTGATTGGATTACCAAACGTTTGTGTTAATTATTCTTAATTCCGTTTTCTCTCACTTTGTTTAATTTAACCTTTCTATATATATTGACTTGACAAGTAAATGTGTGATCAGATTGTTCGAAATAGTCTACAAACCATTGCGTGAACACCCCACCCCCTCCACCGCATTCTATCCTTTCATGTGAAGCCTAATTCACACATGGCAGTGCAGCTGTAATCCCATGGTTGCCAAAGTTGAAAACGGGTCGATATATAGCATTCAGCGGCAAAGTTCAACAATAGTGTCCCAGGAGTGCGAATGCACGAGTGACCTTCAGCTGACCAATCATAAAAATGAAGAATGTTTGCTGATAAAATGTTGTTTATTGACAAGAAAGCGCTTGAAAACGAATTAAACAGGTTATCTTTCTCTGAAATGACTTAAAAATACGTTCCAATTATGATGAGGAGTATCATTTGCTAAGTTAGACTAGGTTCTGTACATGTACTCACCAAGATGACTACAGATAAGCTGCTTGCAGTCTTCCAAAAAAGCCATCGGTTGAATTGGTTTGGTTTCCAGCAAGAGGATAGATGACTACTTAGCGAGGAAAACGTGGATAATAAAACAAATTAAAATAAATGATATCAACTCTAAATCCATCCCTAATCGTAACCATAAGCTTAATCCTGGCCCTAATACTAACCCTAATCATAACCCTTATGTAAACCGTAATTCTAATCCTATTGCTTATTATAACCCTCATACTAAACCTAACCCCAACACTTAACTTAACCCTAATCCTAACCATAACGAGCTATTAACACATTGTCCGAACAGTACTTAAAAACACGTGATCTGGGTGAAATTTGCCTCAAAGTTGGTGAATAGCATTGATATTTCAGCTA